AACTTGGTAACAAAAATAAAAGAAATGCAAGTCTTATGTTCTAACTGCATTCCCCATTCTCCAGTCATTGAAGGTACTCATTGTTGTTGGCTGCCTGAGTCCCAGGTGTTGACTTTCTTGGTAGCCTCAGCAAAGGAACTCCAGATTTTACAAGCATGCTCTTGCACTTTCAGAAGAAAACTGTACTATTGTTTTTTCCAGATTGACATTTCTTGTAAATGTGGCCCTCTGCAGGGCTGAGCCATTTCCAGGATCTGAGTATGTGTCTCAGTGGCCTGCATGGAGGCTTCTTATGTAGGTTTTTTCCTCATCTGGCTTTCTAGCAGGACACTGGCTGAGAATATGCTGGTTCCAGAGCCAGAAGCCACACACTCAGATGTCAGGTTCAAATTCTTGGCTGTTCTCAATGTGTCCTTACAAGCCTCATTGGGCACACTTGGTAGGCACTTGGTAGGATGACCAGTTCTTTAAACTGATGGGATCCTAGGTAGAAACAGAAAATGTTCAGGCATGTTTCCTGCTGGCAGTAGGGACAGTGCTCAGTGGGGTAGGCAAGGCGACTTGGAAGTAAGGAGACCCCAGCTAGAAGACATGGCAGTTCATATAGTTCTGGAATGTTAGGCTTTCTCTTACAGATGGACAGCTGGGCTTGCCCTTGGCTTTTGCATTTATGAGTCTCAACTAACAAATAAATAAACTAGGCATGAGGGTGATTAAGAGGAAAGGAGAGTTGGCTAATCCAGGGATTGTCTGGAGAAAGCCTGCTTTTTCTCTTCTCATCTTGGAGAAAAGAGGGCAGAGAAGATTCTGGAAAGATTCCTGACACTTTTGATGGCTTGTGAAATGTTGCTTCTCTCTTTCTTTTGCTGTTCTGTTATGTGGACAAAAAGGCCCTTCATCCAAGACGCAAGAAAAGAGGTTAAAATTGTATAAATGGGTATTTTATACAAGTGGCAGTGATTAGATACCTTATGTTTCTGATGATACAATCATTTAAAAGTCTGTTTTGTATTAATCCTGGTGGTGTTAGTGATTTCCTATTGAAACCTTTTTGGTTTTCTTATCAGCTCTCATTTCACGGAGGTTTAAGAGACAGATTGCCAGGTGTGGAAAATCCCAGCATTTGGTAGACTGAGTCAAGAAGATAGCCACAAATCTGAGTTTAGCCTGAGAGACACAATGAATTCTAGGGCAGCCTACACTACAGAATGAGACCCCTGTGTCACAGAATGAAAGACAAAACCCCCAAAGCAAATGAAACAAATGAGTAGAAACAAAACTAGAAAACTTTGCATAATGGAGACAATGTGTGATTTGAGTAATGACAAGTGACAGCCAACAGCCAGGAGGTAGATAGACTAAAGGATGCCAGTCCTCCAGAAAAGGGGTGGGGCGGGCGGCTTTTCAGGGGCAGCAGAGAGTGTTGTTCATTTTTCAAACTGTTCCTCAGATGGAAGAGGGGAAGTGACAACAGAAGCTATCTGGATACAGTTCCTCCAGACCTGTATCAGCACTGAGTTTCCTTTCACTGCAGTTGGTTTTACTGGTGTCAAGTCCACTGTGGCTTCAGTGCAAGAAACCTCCAGTTGTTACTGGCTGGGGG